ATATATATATATATATATATATATATATATATATATTGTATGTAATATAATATATACACATATATCGAATTCAATAAAAAATAACACAAGTTTATAATATATAAAATAGATAATAATAAAAATAGAAATATTAACTTAAATTATTATTAATATTATAATATTATAATGTTAACTATAACTATTATTATAATCTTAATATTATTATTATCTAATATTGTAATATGGATCTAAATAAAATAACTTTTGAATCTATATTAAAGATTGAGAATTGCAATAACACATTAACGAGATATCTGTATCACGTTTATGATAAAAATAATTTATTTATTATATTTATCATATAAATTTTTAAAAATAATAAAAATAATAATCATTAAATTTTTATTATTTTTGTATAATAAACAAGATTTAAATAAATTCATGTATCAATATAACCTTTGTGAAATTCAAGGTAGACAACAATGAGTCATATTATTTCCAAAAAAGACTCATGTATACCTTGAAATTTTTAAGACGTGATTATTGTTGTAATATTATTGAACAATGATGCTCATTATGGCACATTAATTTACAATAAATTTTAACATTTGTCACAATCATAGTTTTATATTAATTTATTATATATATGTAAGTATACATAGTTTCTTTAGTCATTATTTTGAAATTAGCTATTTTTTTAATTATGAATAATATATTTTTTTTTAATTAACAATGTTATATTCAATATTTTCAATATTGTGTTAAATGTTTTATATTTTTATTTTTTAATTTTTTATACAATATATATATTTATAAATATAAAAATATAAAAAATATAAAAGATAATTCTATTAATAATTAAATTAATTGCACGAAATTTAATAAAAAAAAACAACTTATAGAGGACGCTATTATTTCAAATCTAGATATACACCTAAGTTCACTGTTGAACATCAACCTAACAAGTTGTAAATACACAATTTATAATTGTTTGGAACAAAATTGATTTCTCAATATGATAATTTATATATAAAATTACTGATAAATTTAAAATAGAAATGTGAATTGTATTATGACAAAAACTGAAATATTTTGGTAAAGCATCAAGTCAGATATCATTTTACGCATTTCGACTTTTTTAGTGAAACTGTAAATATATTTTTCTAATTAAATTACAAATAAGATCAGATATAATTAAATTTAATAAATTACTTTAGTAATTTTTTGAAATAATTACATGATGCAAAAAATTCATATTATATTTTAGGTTTAATTTTGTTTGTAAACAGATCAATATGTGTATTAAATTAGAAAATATATTAATTACATTAAGAATAATATTTCATACAATATGTAAATATTATTATTTCTAAATATTAAATAGGCGGAATATTTATAAATTAAATTCTTATGAAAAATATGCATTTCTAATAAGATATAGTACAAAAATTATATTTTTTTAAATATAAGATAAAATCATAACATATCAATTTCTAAATTAAAAATTTACAAATATATATAAATTTTATTTATTTAAATCAATTTATATCAATTAAATAGAAAGATTATTTATGTTTTTATATTTAATACAATAAATATAGCAAAATATTTTAGCAAATATGAAATAAATTATAATTAAGAATTGTTATAATATCACATATATAACAAATGTAAATCTAAGATAGGATTTGAAAATAAAAATATTATATCAATCTTTTAAAATCAAGTAGGAAGTCTTGTTCTTATATGTACCTTGTGGACGTTCTTTTTATAGACAAAGTTTGACCTCCTTTTCTTCAATATCCATTGCATTTAAGTACCAGCTGTTTCTGAATGCAGATCATGCTACAACAAAACGTTTAAATCAAATATTAATCATGCCAGATAGGTATATTTTTCATATATGATATATTTCAATCGCATATATTATGTATATATGTATATATATATAACAATTATATAAATTATGTTCTATTATCTAACTATAGAAATAATTTATTTATTAAAGAACAGGTTTCTAATTTTATCTTTTAATTTCACAAAGTAGAATTTGTTTCTATAATATATTTTATTTAAAAAAAGTTTTAGATTTGTATTAATAACATATATTAAATTAAATATATATTAATAATTATATATTGATATATTGATTATTTGTATATATTAATAAGGTAATATAATAAATATATTAATTCTTGGATTGGAGAGAGAGAATTTTATAGACAAAATTATTGATATAATTATATGATATTTTATGACATTAAAAATATTTTTAAATATTATTCAACATATGATAAAATGATATTTTATTAGGAATAAAGTTTTGGTTGGTGCTGGAGTAATATGGGGTATTACTCTTTGCTGTTTCTTCATTAGTCGCAAACTTCCAGGATCAATGGCACTGTTAAATTTTATTCCTGGTATTTTATTTTGGTCAGTGTATCTTTCTGTAATGAGAATTTTTTATTTATTTCTTTAATATTATTAATATTAATATATTAATTACAGTTTTACCTGCCATGATTATAGTAAATAATATATAAAAAATAATCTCTATTTTTTTAATAAAATATTATTAAAAAAAAATAAAATATTTAATAATTAATTGATAATATTGATTAATATTATGTTTTTTTTAACAACAATTTATTATATTTTTTAATAAGATATTGTTTTGTGTTTTGTTTGTCACATTATTTATTATAATGGATATAATATTTTTTAAACATTTATAATTTATGTTATAAAAATTATAATAATTGTATTATTGTGTAGGAATCAAAAAATGGAAAATGATGAAAAACAAAAATGTAATATAAATGAAGCTAGTACATCTGTACCTGTAGATTATCAATCTGATTCTCATATTGAATCAGAAGAAGAAAATATAAAAGGGTAAATTATATGATTATTCTTATAATTCATGAATTTAATTATTCTTGTAATTAATGAATATTTTTATTTCTGATATTAATTTTAATATACAGGCAAAAAACAGCAAATTTCATGGCAAGCGGATTAATAGGAGCTTCGCCGCCGAAATTTGTTTCTCTTGAAGAAATTATAAAAGCTGCAAATGGTATGAAAAATATGGCGTTAGCACATGAAATTGCGGTGGATAAAAATTTTCAATTACAAAAACTTGAGCCTGATGATGGTACATTCCATAGAAGAGTAAAAGAAATTATGCATAAGGCTTTCTGGAATTTGTTAGCAGAGCAATTAGAAGAAGATCCTCCAAATTATACTCAGGCATTGGTTTTATTAAAAGAAATTAAAGAAGTAATGTATTTATGTAAATTTTAAGAAATAATTTATAGTTTTTACTTTTACTTGTATTTAATAATTTTTTTTTATAGACATTAGATGAATTAGTATTACCACATCATGCAAAAATTAGAGAAAATTTGAAAGAAATACTTGATGTGGATTTAATTAGACAACAGGCAGAAAATGGTGTTTTGGATTTCCATCATTATGCACAATATGTAATATCAATTATGAGTAAAGTTTGTGCACCAGTAAGAGATGAAAAGATTCGTGAACTTAATCAAAAAACAGATGTCATTGAAATATTTAAAGGCATAATGGAAATATTACAATTAATGAGACTTGATTTAGCAAATTTTACTATTACTATGATGAGACCAAATATAGTTGCTTCAAGTATTGAATATGAAAAAGCTAAATTTGCCGAATTCTTAAAAGTTAATACAAATGGTCTACAATTCACAGAAAAATGGTTATTAAGGCACTATGATCCAACAAAAATTACAAGCAATTCATCCGATGTTAATGCTGTGCGTCAGCTTACACATTGTCTTTTAACTGAAGCGTATCTTGATCTTTTAGAATGGGATTTTAATCCAGATGCAGAAGTATAATTCTTTATTAATAATATAATTATTATTTTAAATTATTTGAATTAATAATGATATAAATTTTATTTACATTTATATTCGCAGACATTAATGCTTGATCAAGGTAGATTACTTGAATTGCGTGATAAAACTAGCAGATTAAGCATTATAGGATCTATAATATTGTTAGTAAATAATACAGTTGGTGCACCAATTCATGGAGTATCAAGTTTTAAGAAAAATATTAAACAACATCTTAATGTATTATTAGATTCTGTACATTCAAATAAGTATGTAAAGAAAAATATGTATATATAAATAATAGAATCAAATAATTAAATTTTTATTGTTGGCAGGGATTTGGAAACTGTAATGCCAAATATTGTATTGCAAGTGAAAACAGATTTAGAAACAACATTACGAGAAATTGGTTTTACTCTTTTATCTGTAGAAATGGAATCATTATTGGAAGGACAAATATTGGATCTTATCAATCCTGGACATAAAATTAGACATCTTATAAGTAAATATATTTCTAAGCTATGAAATATATTTTTATGTAATATTTTTTGTATTTTTTTTTTTATTAGATCTGAGAATTCGTCAATTTTTACAAAAAATAATATTATCTCAATCTGCGGCACCGCAACAAGTTCCACCTGGGCTTTCATCACTTCAAGAAGAATTAACAGCTATAGTAGCTCAATTCTTAATACTTATTTCTCATAATCGAAGTGTATTTGGAGAATATTATCAAGAAATTATAACCAATGCACTTATTAAAAAAGAAATTGAGAATAATAAAGATACAAGTGCAATTCATACTATGGACTTATAAAACAATTAAGATTTTAAATCAATTTTTGTAAGGGAAACATTATATTATGTGTTCATAAAATAGCACATTAATTAAAAAAAATAAGTAATATATATTTTAAAGTAACACTTCATTTGTTTTCATAAATTAAGTTTTCTAACAAAAAAGAAAAGAATATTGAAATATAAAAACAAAAACGTTATATAGAAAGATTCTGATGTTGATATAAGTTATAAATAACATTATAACAAATTAACAAATAATAGATATATATATAAAGAGGAAAAAACATCTTTTCATACATATTGCAAATATTAATTATTCGTTTCTAATCATATGCAAACATTATCTTACATATAATTTAACTGTGACTTAATTTTTCAATCTGTAATATTATGATAATATTAATTACAACTTATTTTTTTGTACTTGGTGCTTTAATAATTTTCAAATGTTATTTTAAGTATTGTATTCAAAACTAATATGTAATATATATTTGTATATATATGCGAAGATTAAATCAATTTGTAATGAAATTTTATTCCATATTTTAAAGTAAATGTAATTATTTTAAGGTTATTTTGACATCAAACATATTTCAGAAATATATTTCATATATGTTCTATTTTTATTTTATAAAATTACATATATTTATAAATATAATTTTTATTAAAAGATTTAAATTATACAAAATTATTTTAAATATAAAGTAACAAACATTCACAATTAAAGTATAAATTCAATATAATTATGACAATATTTTATATGATTTTATTATATAATAAAAATTAAAAAAGAAAAAGATAGATATTCAACAAAAAATATAAAATTTAAAAATTTTATATTTAGTTTGGCGAACCAATTTACAATTTCATATGAATTTAAGCTAGAATTCTGAAACAAACGTCCAAAAACAACAATGAAAAATTGTGGGAATTCAAATCAGGTGTAGTATTAGATCAGATTATTTTAATATTATAGCTTCATGTTTTAAATAAATTTGAATTCTTAGGATATCCTTAAAAGCTCAATCAAATAATTAAGATAATTTCAAATTTTAAGATGAAATCAGTTGAATTATAATTATTCCTGTGGAAAAGAAGATTTTATAAAATAGATATAAATTTATATTGATTTAAAATATTAATAAAATAAAGATATCAAATTAATATAATTCATTAATACTTACTTAGGTAATTTCATTTTAATAATAATTCTTAAATGTTAATATATGTCTTTAAATTTTTTTCTTGTTTAATATTATGATTTTTTTTGTCTATTTATGATAAGAGTAATATAATTTTCAAATTCAGAAATATGATATTTCTTTATAAAATGTTTGAATCCTACAAATTTTGTCATATAATGTTTATAATATATAAAATTGTTATGTTATTAATATAAATATATAAAATATATAAATATATAAATACCTATAAATAAGTGAAATAATCCTTTATTTGGTGAAAACAAATCTTGAAGTATTCTTAATAATACTTCCAAATTATTTGTTTTTGTATAATCTTGTATCATTGTTGCAAATGTTTTATAATCTGTTTCTGATAAAGAATGTTTTACCTAAGAAATGTATTATGTATATATTTAAGCTTTTGAATGTATATATATGTAGCAAATGTTATTATAATATTAATTTACTATTAATTAAAATTATATTTTTAATTAATCATAATCAATTATATATATAAATATAAAAATATATATATATATATATATATATATATATATATAATAAATAAATAAAAAACTTAACTT